TATGGTAATTATAGTTAATCATATTCTATATACTTCAGAGTTGCTAAGACTCAAGATTGCAAATGTTCTCACCACAAAAAAAAGAAATAATTGTGTTATATGATAGGGGTGTTAACTAACATTATTTTAGTAATCAGTTGTAATATATAAATGTATCAAATCAACACATACACCTTAAACATACACAAAAAAGAAAAGCCAAAGTCACCTATGATCACCAAGTCTTGAAAACAGGCTGTTAGTGACAGAAGGAAACTTAACTTGCCGTAGCCTTAGAAGTGGTTTCCATAAAACACACACACACACACACACACACACACACACACACACTAGTTAGTAGCTTCAGTACCCTCTATGAAGCCCTCCCTGTCTTGTGTACATTTGACCACTCCCATCATGTGTTTCCATTGTACCCCATAGAAACCATTGTTGAGACATATGTGACATCTTTCTTTGTATATCTACAAAGAAAAGTGTGTTCCTTCTACTGGACCATAAACCCTGTGATCCCCTGCCATAAAAAGGGGGGGGGGAAGCATTTGCTACTAAAACAGGTGTTTTGTTTTGAGTTAAAATCCATTCCTATTATTTATTTATTCTACTACTCAGATTGTCATAGATTTGGCTCCTCTGTTCTTTCAACATAGCCCCATCATTTTTAAGTTTTTATTTTGTTGTGATAAGAACAGTTAACCTGAGCTGTACCCACATAATAGCTTTAGAACTGTACAATACAGTATTGTTAAACTATAGGCACAACATTGTACAGCAGATCTCTATAACTTTCTCGTCTTGCATAATTAAAACTTTATACCCATTGAGTAGCAATTCCCCATTCCTCCCTATCCCCATCCCCAACCTTTTTGAAGACTTCTTTATTTTTTAGTACCATATGATTTTCTAAGCTCTTCTTGTATTTTTACTGCTCCAGTACTAGAGTCGGACATTTCTTCAAGAAATACTGGTTTCTTTTATTTGCAAATGGTATTTAGAAATCAAGATCTGGGTTCTAGTTGAACTCAGTATGTGAACTGTTTATATGGATAATTTTGATGCCAGCCAGCACTGCAAAGTTTAGTTTAACCTATCTCTTTTCCTTACATATAACTCCTTTATCCAGTGATGAGAAACCTAGTTCTCATTCTCAATATGTTCACTTATTTGCTCAATCGTAGAATACACTTACAATAGTTTCAGAACTGTTAACTTATACTCCTAGGAAAAACAAACTAACTTGAGCAATATATTTGTGTGCATTTCTTTTTGTCTTTGGCCTTGGAGTGTACCAGTATAGTCAAAATACTGTTTCCAAAGTTCGTTTTTGTTTTTCCTCCCTTTTCAACCATTTCAGTGTGGTTATGTTATTTATTTGTAATATATTTAGGTTAAATTTTTGTTTTCATTCCAATTGGGTCCTTTCTCTCTAATCTTGACTGATTTTGATTAATTTTTGGTTATGTGAAACTGACATGGCTCTCCTCAAGTTGAGATTCTCTGATGATGTTGTATAGTGAGTTAATGCTCTAAATGAAAGGAAGATTATACAAGTGACTTTTCTCAAATACCTCTTTTACTTACACATGGCTTCTTTTCTAAAATAAGATATTTGAAGTCATCTGTAAATGCATACCAATAGACAGAACCAGTGGTAACATTGTTATGTGACCTGTACTTTTGTCTATACAAATTCATATGTGTATACATCGTTTTCATACACTATATATACTGTTTTCCCCATTTTATTGAGTTATAATTCAATAACAAAATTCACTGTAGTGTATAATACAGTGGCTTTTAATATATTCACTATGAAGTGCAACCATCACCACTATCTAATTCCAGAACATTTCCATCACCCCAGTGAGAAACCCCAAACCTATTAGCAGTCAGCCCCAAAACATACTGTTTGCACTTTGCCCTTTTTTATTTAATATATTGTGAGCATTTTTTCACCCAGTTAAATATTCACCTAAAACACAATAATTGTGCAAAATACCCCCCATGGACACTGAAGTAGTTTCCCCAACATCTTGATTTTCTTTTAGCACCAATCAGCATACATTTTAAACTGATCCTGCATACTCATTTTTTATTTCTATAATAGAAATTTACTAAAAATCTGAATTAGATTCCAGTTTATAGGTATATTATCAAGTTAATGTACCAGTTCTAAATGATTCAAGCAGCTAGAGTGTTTGATACCCTATATTTCACAGGAGGGAAAGCTTAGAAACTGCTTTTGTGTGTCAGTTTTCTTGTAATCAAGCCCAGGTCCTATTAACTTTGTATTTTCAAAAATAATATAACCATCACATCAGGTTTACAGATTTTCCAAGACCCTGTTAACCAGTATCACCTGGTATCCAGGCCAAATATTGATGGTGATTAATAATGATAATTTACCCAGTATGTGTAATGTACTAGTACTTTGCAGTTTGACAAAAAAAAAAAAAACACTTTATTTTCTTATTTAATCCTCACAAATCTCCTATGAGGCAATTAGTATTATTTCCATTTAAAATATATGAAAAGTAGAGCGCATAGAATTTACATAACTTGCTTTTGGAGCCATCTAGGAGGTGACAGAACAAGATTTCCACAATAGCTTTACTGACTCTAATTCCAGGACTCTTGTACATCATAGTTTGGGTTTACCAAGCCTTGGACTCAGTAACTTAACAGCCCCACATGGAGATGGGTTGTTATTCTCTCTTACCTCTCCCTAGAAGGAGAGCTCATGAAGATTTGCCATAGAGATCTACCTACCAGTTTAATCCCTAATTCCAGAGGCTTGGTTTGCCTACCATTGTGGCCTGCAATTCATTCAACTGCCACCAGATGGAAGGAATACTCTGTTAAGGAAAACAAAACAAGCATTAGAATGGCTAATGGTTACCAGTGATCTGTAATTAATGGTTCCCAAATTGAGGGAATAATTTATGTAGGTGGTACCCTCTGTGTTCATAGGATCTCTATGTCCATTATCTCTTAGTCACTGACTTAGCAGTATTCCCTTTTCTAAAAATTTAAATTTATCTTTATTGTTAAAAGTATTATAAATGTCCCCTTTGGGTGTTTTTTTTTTTCACCATTTCTCCCGATATATTTTATTTGTCACTTTATTTTGTTCATCCCAAAATGATTTCTAATACTTCTGGACCTCTTTGGCTGAGATAAGAAGCCCTTCTCCTGCATCTTCAATTTGCTATTGCCTTACCCCTGGAGTACTTCAGTGACATCTTATTTATGTTTCTCCATGCAGTCTACCTTGCATAATTCAGCCAGATTAATGTTTGGAAAATGCCACTTTTCAACTGTACTCCAGAAACTTTACTCTCCATTGTCTAAGGATTAGTCTGGCTTTTAAAGGCACCCCACAGTCTCACCCTGTCTTGTTATCTGTTTAAAATACAGAAGGCCTTAACTTGGTTCCTGCTATTAACATATCCTATTCATCTTTAGCACCTAGTTCAGATGCTGATTCTTTATTTATTCAATCAACAAATGTTTGAATGTGTTACCCTATGCCAAGCACTGTTTTAGGCCCTGAGAATTCATAATGGAATAAAGCAGACTAAGTCCCTGTTCTCATGGAAATCACATCCTAGTAGGAAGTCACACCTCCTCTTCCCACAAACTATCCCATAAATCCCATCAATCACTACCTCACAATTTAGAGGGTGTAGAGGGGATAAATGGTGAGGAAAGGAGACTTGACTTGGAGTGGTGACCACACAATACAGTGTACATTTGATGTATTATAGAATTGTACACCTAAAACCTATATAATTGTATTAACCAATAGCACACCATTTATTTCAATAAAAAAGAAAAAGTATGACTCTAGAAATGCTATGTACATTTTGCATTCTACTAGAATTGATACTTACAATTGAGTATTGCCCTTCCAGGTGATGAGCCCTTTAGAGCTATGGCATGTACTCTGATGCTGTATGAGTTAGTCAAAACATGTATAGCACTTTTCTTTAGGAATATCCTCCAGAGCCTGTAGTATACTCACCTGAATATCCTCAGCTGTGGCAGATGCTCATCCTTTGAGGATGCATTGGATTTTTAAAAACAGCCTCAGGTCTCCCAGTATAGAAAATTACCTAAGTGAGAATGTGTGACAGAAGGAAGTAGACTGGTTTTTTGATATGTCTCAAAAATGGGCTCTTGAAGGTGCTTCCCAAAGGGAAATCCAGAGAAAACACAAGAAGATGACAAGCAGCACTCAGATAATGTCACAGCCTGCCTTATTTAAATTCTCTGCTTGAATTTTTTTAAACCTGTGTTTCATATTCTCCCAATTAAATTATAAATCCCTTAGGAATAAGAAGTTTTGTTTGGGTTTTTTTATGTATGCCACCCACAGTGCCATCTTTGCATATAGTAAATTATCAATATTAATATGTCAATTGTTTAATGAGGCAATGGTAAAGGCAGTAAAACATTAGCTGATACTGTTAGTGTCAACATACACTGTAATAATTTCCTGACTCTTATTGGCATTAATTGATTTAAAATACAGCGTGGGCAAAAATAGGTTTATAGTTGTGAGTACATGAAACAGTTAATAAAGCTATTATAATAATCATAACCTTCATGTCTTTTCCCATACGAACAACTGTAAACCTTTTGTCCTGCCCTGCATATACTTACAGTTTTATGTCATTCTACTTTATGATTTTGCAAATCTAATTGGCATTTAAGATGCAGTACTATTAGGTACTTGTATTGTGTGATTTAATTTCTTAACACAGAAGACTAGCAAAAGGTTTTTATAAAGTGAGATCTCTCTTCTGCCTTGGTAGGGCAAAAGTTCTTATTAATATGAATTAGTCATCTATTTTGGGGTTATTCACTTACAACTCTAGAATACAGACTTATTGCCTTCTGATGTTAGAAGGGCTTAGGACTGACTATATGTAATAGTTTCCTGTTTTAGTTTAAAAATTTGATTAATTGAAAACTAATGCTTTTCTCCATTTCCCCCCCAGAACCTTTGTTTCATTTTGCCACAATTTTTGTACCAGTTCTTCTGCGGATTCTCACAACAGGTTTGTTTTCCTAGTTATTTGTTGTCATCTACTTTACATTTGCTATTAACAATTTCCCTTTTTATGTATTGGATTATAGGTATTGGAGAGGTATGTCTGAAGTAAAAGGAGGGTTGTTTTTTACTCAACTGTTAATCTTGGCTTGCATTTTGACCATAGCAAATGTTTGCGTTTTTGCTTTAACAGTGTTCTTATTACTTTGTTTTGAAAATTCTTTAATACATCTGATTAGAATTGAGATAACCTTTAAAAGAATATTCTGGGTTTTTTTCTTTGTATCAGTGTATACAATATTTTCCAATAATCCTAAAATGTTATAGTTTAATATTTCATCAAATAATATCTCACACCTTTGCAGTTTCTCAGATTGGTTTTCTAGAGAAACGTTGACCTTTACTAGTAAGCTGGCCATGAAGCTGTGATTCCTGGATAAAACCTTGGATTACTTGAGTAACTCTACATTTTTTACCCTCTATTGTCTTCTGAACATTTATTGCATAAAGAATATGATATATGTTAACTTGGTATTTAAGTGGCAGGATAAGCAGGCACATTTGTCAGTTTGTTTTAACAACTGAAATGGATTTTGCATTGTTTCTAGTGGAAGTACAGCTAAATATAGGAACTATAATGCTCAGTGACTCAGAAATTTTCATAGGTAATCTGTGAGCAGTTCAGTGATTTTGCCAAGCTGAACTGCTGGTAATGTCACCACAGGTATTACAGGTATTACAGATTGAGTTTCTAAATTTCAAGGTATGTTTAATTCCTCATGGTAGGAAGTGATTTTTTTTTCTAATTTCTTGGCAGAATTTTTAAGCGAATGTATTCTGTCAAAGGGAAATGACTGCTCTCTTTGTCTTGAACTTACCTCTTTACCATTTGGTAGGCTGTCTCTTACTTACATCGGTGCTGCCATGTCATCAGCCACATAGGGCCAGTTAAGCAGATTGCGTTATGAATTAATCATCTACCTGTAGGAAGTGCTATCAACTTTCTTGTATTCAAAACTTATAGTTTTAGCTACAGAGAGTTTTATGGATTCTGATGAGTCTGCTTTTCTTGAACATTGAAATTACTATTGATCTAAATGTTTCTAATTCCTCACTTAGATGAATGCAAGCATTAAAAAACATTTCAAATTTTGTTGCAAAATACTAAAGGGAAATTGGCTTAATCTGGTTAAAACATTGTTTTTTATTTTGGAAGGAGGCTGTTGCTTTGTTATCTTTTTAAAACATGTTTATGAAGCACAAATTTTATGAAGAAAGGAAGGACTTACTCCTAATAAGGTCAGCTGAGATTCAGACTCTGGGCTGTCGGTGGTCTGTTTAGGTTACCTTAACTGCTTAGATTTTCATAGGAGTTGATGTTTGGCTTCGTTAGTTGCTCAACTAGTATGCTCATTCACTTAACAAATATATCTTGGGTGTCTAGTATGTGCCCGGCTAAGTGCTGGGAATACAGCAATGATCAAAAATCTTACCCCTGTAATGCTGGGGGAAAGACAGACTACATTCAGATAAACATATTGTCAGTTGCTGATAAATGCTCTGAAGGGGGTGAAAAAGGATAACAAATGGATAGAGTGACTGGGGAAGAGGGCCACTATTTTAGAGAAGATAATTTGAAAGTTCTCTCTGATGATGTGACCTTTAGGTGGAAATGTGAAGGATATAAGGGAAGGAGCTATATGGATGTCTTAAACAGAAGGTTTCTGAGGTGGTGACCTGGTGTATAATATCTTTAGTTTTGAATTTGGCCTAGTGCTCTGCGCTGAATGTAGCAACCTTTGTTGCAAATATTCTTGGAACCTTTTCAATTTAGGTCCACATCAGGTGTTCTCTGCAAGCCTGAAATTTGGAGGGTTGTGCTATGGAGAAGTAGAAGTGGGACCAGGATTCTGATTCTTTAACAAAAGGCAGGTCTTTCTTTAGCAAAGCTAGAGTAGTACTGGTCATGAAAATAAAACATTTAACAGTAAGTAACTAGGGGACAAGAGGAAACCCAGAACTTCTAAATCCAATTCCAAGATTCAAGGTTTACACTGAAGAAAATTTTCAAAGCTCAAGTTCCTTCCTAAGATAATGCTTTTTATATCTTATTTCTAAAACCTGGTTCTCACTAGAGATTTATATATTAAAGGGGATAAGACTTTTTTCTGCAAAATACATCAAACATGAGAGTAAAGCAGAAAAGTGTTAATAGATGTATGTACTACTTTTCTTATAAATGAATGAATAAAACATTTACAACAGGTTTAACAAATAATATTATCAAGTAAAGTTGTTTTGAGGACATTCTATCTTCTCTAATTATGCATCTAAAAATTACAATTCTCTTTCATGTAACCTCAAACTATCATAATGGAACAAAAGTAGATTTTTAAAAAATATATATATTTATTGATTTCAGAGAGGAAGGGGGAGGGAGGGAGAAAGAGAAACATCCATGATGAGAGAGAATCATGGATTGGCTGCCTCTTGGGGATCCAGCCCGCAACCCGAGCATGTGCCCTGACCAGGAATCGAACCATGACCTCCTTGTTCTTAGGTCGAGGCTCAACCAAGGAGCCACGCCATCCAGGGCTTAAAAGTAGATTTTATTTTCATTTATCTCTATTGTTGAAAATATTACAGATGTTCCATCCCCCCCCATTGGCCCCCTTAATGTCAGGCCTACCACACCATTGTCTATGTCCTTGGGTTATGCATGTGCATATAAATTCTTTGGTTAATCTCTTTCCACCCCACCCTCTCCCCTGATGCTTCTTTTGTTTGAATGAAATTCAAGACTAAATTATACACCAATCAATCAGAAGGTTTTTTTTTCAATTTTCTCATTAGCAAAAATGGGTAATTGTATATCAACAGACTAGTACTCTCCCTTGAGAATTCAGTAAAATATTTTTACTGAGTTCAAATCTTTGTATATGAGAAGTATCTCCATGTTCATTGAGAATTTTACATCCATATTATCTTGCTTTGTTTCTATAATAGGTAAGAGTTGTCCCTTCCTCTAGGCTCCCCCAACTCTTTGTACTCTCACCACCCTGCCTCCCCCTCTGCAATTTGAGTGCCTCAGCTGACAGGGTACTAATCTTCTTTGTCCCCAGTGCTTGTCACTTAATAAGCACTCAGTAAATGTTTTTGAAGTCAACTAATGAATGAACCAGTGTTCTATTCAAGTTCTCAATGTTTTTGAGGCAACTCCCATTATGATAGTAAGTGAATCTTTATAACTATTGTTTGAAAATGCATAATTGTATTAATTTATGTCACATTTAAATACATTTTATTAATTAAAATAACATTTATATGTGTGAAAGTACAGATAAATATGGGATATTATTCATTCAGGCCCCAGATAATGGCTGTATGAAAACATCTAGCACTGTGTAGAAAAATACTGAACTCAATAAGTATATTCATTAAAATGAGGATCAGATAATACCTTAATTTTTTCCCATAAAGGAAAATTCACAATATCAGGTCAGTCTTTTCCAAATGTGCTGTGGATTCCATTATCTACTCAATCATTCATCCAATATTTATTGAATGCTTTTTATATGCCAAGTGCTGTCGTAAGAGCTGAAGGTTGTCAAAGCCCTCTAGCCAAACACCACCAGGAACACATTTGTAGTTGATCAAATTTTGTTTATTACCGGATGCAATGACAAAGAATATACACCATGAAGAACAGTGGGGCCTCTCAGGAAGAGAGTATTAGAAAGGTCTTATAAGATTTGGATTGAGTTAGGTAATTTGGGAAGGATTTAAGAAGATTGGGTGCTGTTAATTTTATGACTGGGCATTTTAGTAAATCTTACCCAGAAGGAATAAAGACTAGAAGGAGGCTAACCCTGTTATCGGTCAAGAAGCAACAGTTACTCATATTAGCCAGAATGGGGGTGTTGGTCATTATTTATGATTTGAAAAATATTCATGCTCTGTCTGTGTTCAGATGTGATTGTGGAGTGGTCTTGTTTTTGTTTTGATCCATCATAGTCACAGAATGGCCTTGTTTGATGTTGCATTTCTGTGAAATTGTGCATGTTTGGCAGGAGAACACCTATGCCTAGCTATAAGTGACAGGTCAACTCTATGATGTCAGGGGCCGCTTTACTCTTTTTCAAGCTACAGCGATCTAATGTGAATTGAAACAAACAAACAAAAAGTTGGGATAGCAATAACTTATACCAGTCAAAATAGGCTTTAAAACAAAGACTGTAACAAGAAACAAAGAAGGACCCAGCAACTCCACTTCTTTATCTAAAGAAACCTAAAACACTAAATCAAAAAGACATATACAATAAATAAAAAAAGAAAAAAGACATATACATCCACATGTTCATTATAGCATTATTTGCAATAGCCAAGATATAGAAGCAATAACAACAAAAAATACACACACACACACACACACACACACACACACACACACACACAATGGAATATGATTCATCCATAAAAAAGCATGAAGTCTTGCCATCTACAACAACATCAGTAGACCTAGAGGGTATTATGCTCAGCGAAATAAGTCAGAGAAAGACAACAGCCAGATGATCACTATATGTGGCATCTAAAAACCAAAATAAACAAGCAGAATAGAAACAAATTCATAGATACAGAGAACATTATGACAGTTGCCATATTTTGGGGGTGTTAGGACAGGATGGCTGAAGGGATTAAGAAGCACAAATTGGTGGTTAAAGAATAGTCATGGGAGGTAATGTACAGTTTAAGGAATACAGTCAATAATATTAGAATTATGCATGGTGCTAGGTGGGTACTTGATTTATCGGGGGGGATCACTTTATAAGTTATATAAATATCTAATCACAGGATTATACACCTGAAACTAATATAATATTGTCAACTGTAATTTAAAAACAAAAACATATTTAAAACATTTTTTAACTCCTTTTTCAAACTGTCTTGTTTTAGCTTGTGATTTTTTCCAACACAACCTCTTGAAGATGATTGTTCAGTACATTTTTTTTCTTTCACTGTTTGTCATTTCAGCCACTGTATGATGCTGCTTACCTTACAATGTACAATATCTGCTTCACATCCTTGCCCATCCTAGCCTACAGTCTACTGGAACAGCATGTCAACATTGACACTCTGACTTCAGATCCACGATTGTATATGTAAGTTAAACATTACAGTTAAGATTTCCTCAGACTTACAAAGTTGTGGGTTTCACTTTGTATGAGAAGGGAAGGACACAGACTGCCCACCTGGTTTGATCACATGATTCTCTGACATTCAACAGGAAAATCATATATTTCCTAGGTGTAGGTACTGTACTTGAATGTGTTTGAGCCATTTCGTTAAAAATCATTAATTCCGCCGAAACCGGTTTGGCTCAGTGGATAGAGCGTCGGCCTGCGGACTGAAGGGTCCCAGGTTCGATTCCAGTCAAGGGCATGTACCTGGGTTGCAGGCAAATCCCCAGTGGGGGATGTGCAGGAGGCGGCTGATCGATGTTTCTCTCTCATCGATGTTTCTGACTCTCCATCTCTCTGCATTCCTCTCTGTAAAAAATCAATAAAATATATTTTTTTAAAAAATCATTAATTCCTAAAACTTGCATCTACATTGTCGTAGAGTTCTGGAGTCTTAGAGGAAGACACGATATTTTAACTAGAAAAAAAAAAGCCTCACACAAAGATCTTTATTAGTTTAGAACATTGATTTCTTCCTATAATAGATTGAACTGATGATATTGTTAGGACTTATCTTGTAAACTGTCCCTGAAGCATAGCTTCTCTCTCCCTTTGTTAGGCCCATTCGAAAACTATTTGTTGAAGGAATTAATGCATCAAGCCATTATATCCATTTTGTGTCAGTTGGAAATGCATGTGTTTCTGTATGGATGGGGACTTAGCACTAGCCCCAGTTGCTTAACCTATGACTTAATTGGATTTTTATAAGTTAAGCCTTAAAGCTAAGGATAAAGATGTTAATTTACAGCAGATTATAAGCATTGCTAAATAGTGGATGTCAAGTGCAGTACATAGACTTGTGTGGCTTATTTGTATGAAGTGAATGTGTACAAATTAAGGGATTTCTTTAACCAGTATGACTCATAAAACTCACCTTAATTATTAGACCTAACCAGATTTATAAAATATATCATCATCATTTTAAAGGTATTTATTATGGGAATTTTCAAACATCCACAGAAGTAGCAAAAAAATACTATTAATACAGTGAACTTCCCTGTCCTTACCACTCAGCTTCACCAATTATCAATACAGAGCCAGTTCACTTTCATTAATAACCATCTCTGCTCCACCAGAGACTTATTTTGGAACAAATATTACGCATTGTCTAAAATAGTTATTTCAGTATGTTTGTCTTAATGATAAGGACTTAAAAATAACAGTACCCTATCATACCTTAAAATTTTACAAGTTCATAATATCACATATTCGGCCAATGTTCAGATTTTTCCAACTGACTCATTTCTTTGAATTGCAGGCTTGTTTTTTTTTTTTTTAATATATTTTATTGATTTTTTTACAGAGAGGAAGGGAGAGAGAGAGAGAGCTAGAAACATCGATGAGAGAGAAACATTGATTAGCCGCCTCCTGCACATCTCCTACTGGGGATGTGCCCTCAACCCAGGCACATGCCCTTGACCGGAATCGAACCTGGGACCTTTCAGTCCACAGGCCGACGCTGTATCCACTGAGCTAAACTGGTTTTGGCTGCAGGCTTCTTTTAATGAGGATATAAGGTCCATATGTTGCCGTTGGTTAATATGCTTCTGGAGTTTCTCTTTTTTTTTTCTTGAGTCTCTTTTAATCTGTAGGTTAACCTGGCAATATATTTGCTGATGATATGGGATCATTTATCTTATAGATTTCCCCTGATCTAGAGTTTGCTGATTGCATTGATGGCATCATTTAACGTTTTTCTTTTCCTGTATTTGTTACAAAGGGATAGTTAGATCTAGAGGGAATCATAGAAACCTTGGTTGAAATCTTACAGAGTATCATCTCCCATGCTCTCATTTAAAAAAAAAAAAATGAAGAACCAGGACCCAGAAATGACTTGCCTAAGAACACAGGGTATAACTAGAAGCCAAACTAAGATTAGAATTCAGTCCTCCTGATAATCAGCCCTGTGCTCTTCCCAGCAGGATAATCATTCTCAAAACTGAGCCAACAGTGTATTCTGTCTTATGACAACAACAAAAGTGAAGCCCAATAGTGCTATTGCTCTGATTGAAGTGGAGTTTGGGGAGCAGTGTGCAGAATCCCTCCCATGCAGCCCCAGCAAGTGCTCAAGCTAATTGTCTGAGTTCCAGTTTTGGCTTTGCCACTCACTAATTGTGTGACCTGCACAGGTTACTTAACTGAAATGAGCCTCAATTTCATCTTCAGTAAAATCTGGGCAACAAGAACACCTAATCTTCAGTGGTTTTATGAGGGTTAGATGAGTGACAACACATAAAAGAACTTAAAATAGTACCTGGAACATAGTAAGTGTTCATAGATTGTAGCTATTGATCTTATTCTAACACTCTCTTCCACTTGACTTCCGGACTGTGCTGAGCACTTTCATACATTAAGAATGTTGAAAAAAAGAAAACTGTTGAGCACAAATTATTGTAAGAGTTTTCTGAAGTTTTACTTACTGAACAGCAGGTGTAGGTAATGAACCATTTTGCATAGAGCATGGTTCTCAACCTTGGCTGCACATTAGAATCACCTGGGAATATTTTTAAAATCCTGATATATGGGCCTCATCCTCTGGAAATTCTGTTTCTTTGTTACTAATGTTGTGGCCCACTCCATAACAAGGAAACAGAATTTCCGGAGGATGAGGCCCAGAAATCAGGATTTTAAAAATATTCCCAGGTGATTCTAATGTGCAGCTAAGGTTGAGAACCACTGGCATATACTTGCCACATCTGATGCAGAAATGAAAGCCATGACATACCTGTTGACCAGCCCAAAATTCAGTTTTCTTTGTGTGCTCTGATGATACACTGCTCTTGGCCTGTCACTGTAGATCACTCTACAGGGGAGGCACCTCCCTAAAGATCCTTGCAAGAATTGCCCAGCAACTGCCAGCCAATGAGGCTTTTGAGAGTCACTGTCATGGGCTGAGTGAGGCAGAAGGTAGTCCCTGTGTTTCCATACCTTCTCTGGAGTTACGTTACACACTGTGGGAAGATAGGCAGGGACATCATAGTATGTTAGTAATATTCTGACTTGTACTAAGAAGATTGTGCTATTTTTTTAATATATTTTATTGATTTTTTACAGAGAGGAAGGGAGAGAGATAGAGAGTTAGAAACATCGATAAGAGAGAAACATCGATCAGCTGCCTCCTGCACATCTC